CATCACCCTACCCCAAGACTGACTGGGGGTTTGAACTGCTAAAGTTATGGCTATGGCTATAGCAACCTAGCACTTAGCCATTGTGCCACCTTTAAGAAAGATTAAATATGCTAAAACCTACTGTCATCAAGTGGATTCCAGCTCCTAGTGATCCCGTATAGAGCATCCAAGACTGAAATCTCTACAGGAGCAGACAGCCTCAGCTTTCTCCCGTTGAGCAGCTGGTAAGTTTGAGCCTCAGATCTTTTGAGTGGTAGCCCAATGCCTTTAAGAAAAATTAGTTATGACTATTTAAAATAAGAAAATATGCCTTTTTAGTTTGCCACTTGAAACAATGTTGTTGTTGTTAGTTCCTGTGAAATTGGCTTTAACTTCTGAGAGCCTTCTGTATCACAGACTTTTTGTCTTATGCTTTCTTCATCATCGCTGGTATGCTTGGTTCCCTGGCTGGTGTTTATTATGTCCTTCTATCTCACTGAAGGTCTCCCTTGTTGTCCCTGACCCTGAGCAAACATGAGCTCCTTTTCTAGTGATTGCCCTTCTGGTATCATGCCCAAAGAAAGCAAGCCAAAGTCTTGCTCTTCTTCCTTCTAAGGAACATTCTGGATGTAGTTCTTTTAAGACTTTCGTTTAATTCTTTGACAGCCCATGATATATTCAGTATTGTTTACCAACACCTTAAGTTGGATGTACCAGTTCTGAAACGGTCTTGTCTTTTCGTTGTATAGTTTTGCCAAACTATAGAAGTCATTTAAGAGTTATGGTATTTTACCATTGGGACGAGTGAGTGACCACATGAGTAAAGGTGACAAGTGGTCTCCGGAGGCATCGTTCATTCTTTGAATAAATGAATGATGGATACCAACGCCTTGGAATATATAATTTAAGGGACAATTAAAGAAGAAGGGGGGATGAGAAAATGGTACCTGGGGAGGGGAGGATCTTAGGAAAGCAGTGATGATTACTATGAGCAGACTAAGGAGTGGCAGGTTATATTGTGTCCAGCCACTAAGAGATTTGTGTGGCTTCCAGTCAAGGCTGCTTCATATTGACCTTATAGGACCGAGGGAAACTGCCCGACCAGGATTCGTAGGTTGTAATCTTTCTGGGAGCAGATGGTCTGATCTCTTCTCCCATGGAGAATCCAACCTTTGGGTCAGCAGCCAAGTGCTTTACTCAGACTGACACCAAGATTCCATACGAATAGGGTTCAAATGAGCTCACCGCCAAGTTGCTGGCGGCTCATAGCAACCCCAGAGGACAGAGTGGAACTGCCCCTGGGGGTTTCTGAGACTGTCGCTTTTTATGGGGGTTGAAAGCCTGTCTTTCTCCCGAGGAGCAAGCTAGTGGGTTCGAACTGCTGACCTTGCAGTGAGCAGCCCAACACATAACCACCACACTACCAGGACTCTTCATTATTCATTAGAACAACAGGAATTAAAGCTGGCTCCCTTTCTAATCCACTGCATTCGGGCTGATCTCCCACCATATCACTGAAGTCCCCTGACAAAAGCCATCACTGCCCTGGTCAAGGAAAGAATGTGTTTCTTAAGTGCCATTGGACTTGACCAGGCTGATAATCTCAGAAGGTTCCAGTTGAGAATGAGCGGTAGGAGGAAGGGGATGATGGGTGGACAAGGTGGAAATGAGAGTGAGGAGTGAGTTTGAAGAGAGGAGAAATGTCTTCTGAAACATTAAGAAAGCGGTGAAGAAGGCGCCTGGGCTGGACCAGGATCCTGGATCCAGTGTTCTAGCTCTAGTTTGTCTTCCCAGCAACCAACCGGACACTGACAATTGTGTCAGTTCCAACTTAGAGCAGCGGTATGTGCCACAGAATGAAACACTGCGCCAGGCGGTGCACCATCCTCATCATCGTCTTGTTTGGGCCCATTGTTGCAGCAACCGTCAGGCCATCTTGTCGGACGAAGTCTTCCTCTTTTTCACGGCCCTTATGCTTTATCGTCCGTGACGTCCTTTTCCAGAGACTGGTCTCTCCTGATAACAAGTCCAAAAAGAGTATGTGAGATGAAGTCTTGCCAACCTTGGTTCTGAAGAGCACTCTGACTGTACTTCTTCCCAGACAGATGGTTGAGAACAAAGTAAATTAAAGCATAACTTAGGTCCTGGTGAATGCCCAGAGAGGGTAAAACAAGAGTATTGGCAGGCAGCAAGCGTGGTTATGTCTGGCACTCAGTGGCTTTAGGCGTACCCACCCTTCCTCTTCCCACGACAAAGGCCCTCTGCTTTCAGGACTCTCAGGGGCTTTTGATTTTTAAGTGCTCCGCTGCTGACTGCAAAGGCAGTGGTTCGAACCCACCAGGGATCCACAGGCGAAAAGACTTAGCGATCTGCTCTGGTAAAGACTGCAACCTGGAAGAGCCAGTGGGACAGTTCTGCTCTGCCTGTAGGGTTTCTGTCAGTCTGAATTCACGTGATACCTCCAACAAGGGCCACGGGGCCTTTTGTTTAAAACGAGTCTGGATTTGCCTGGTCAGGCCAGCGGCTTTTGATTTAGGATGGCCCTGCTTAAAAGTTTGTATTCTATGATTGGTGTCCTTGGTTTGATTTTTGGCCTGTTCCCTGTCCTCTGCAGAGGAACCATGCAGGTGTCTACCTACTTTCTTTCAGCATTATTTTCCAGCCGAGGTGCTGGAAACACCTCTGCCATGAGCCCTTCCTATCGTTCTTCGAGAAATCTCCACCAACCCAGGCATGTCGGGTGATTCTCTTTGGGTGGTTATTAGTTATGGTCATCTGCTGCTATTCACGGCTAATTGAAATGTAATTACGTGGTATGCAGAGATATAGTTGACCTACGTGGATTTGCTGCTGTTGTTGCTAGGTACTATCAAGGTAGTGCTGACTCTCTGCAGCCCTGTGCACCCAGCAGGCAATACTGCCCGCTCTGTGCCCTTCTTACAACTGCGGCTGTGTTTGGGCTTGTGGCTGGAGTCACTGTGTCGACTGGTCTTTTTGAAGACCTTCTTTTTTTCTTGACCAAGCATAATGTCCAGGGTGGCTATGGGTTCGAATCTCTGCCCTTTGGTTAGCAGCCCCAGCTATGACACACCATGGCTCAAGTGTTGAGTAGGACACAAAAACTGCCCTCGAGTTGATTTAGACTCATAGAGACCCAGTAGGAGAGAATGGAAATAGGGTTTCTGAGGCTGTACTTACATGAACAGATGGGTTCATCTTTCTCCCAGGGAATTGCTGATGACTTTGAATCCCCAACCTTGAGGGGGAATTCAAACCAGGGCTCCATGGATATGAGCATAATGTTGTTGTTAGGTGGCCTTTGAGTTGGTTCCAACCCGTAATGACCTGTCCAACAGGATGAATTGCTGCCCAGTCCTGCCCCATCCTTAGAATGGCTCCTCTGCTTGAGCCCATAGGAATACTAGTTGTGAATTATTTTGCTCCTATTTCTTATTGGGAATCGAAAACCCTAAATCGGGAATGTAAACCCTAACCACACAACACCTATTGTGAGTTTGCATTCTAGAAAAGACTGGTCTGAAACAATGGGGCACATGACTATCTGCTTTATGATCACAGTTAATTCAGGATTTTAGTCTCCGTTGGATGAAGAACACGGACCCGAGTCCAGGATCTGTCGCCATCTATCTTACCAGACAAGGCTAAACAGCAAGGGTGAAACAGCCTTTTTAAAAAAAATCATTTTATTGGGGGCTCGTATAACTCATCACAATCCATCCATCCATCCCTCCATCCACCCATGTGTCAAGCACATTTGTACATTTGTTGCCACTATCATTCTCAAAACATTTTCATTCTACTTGAGCCCTTAGTATCAGCTTCTCATTAAAAAAAAATCATTTTATTGGGGGCTCATACAACTCTTATCACAATCCATCCATCCATCCATTGTATCAAGCACATTTGTACATTTGTTGCCCTCATCATTCTCAAAACATTAGCTTTCCACTTGAGTCCTTGATGTCAGCCCCTCATTTTTCCCTTCCCTTCCCACCCCCCGTCCCTCACGAACCTTTGATAATTTAGAAATTATTAATATTTTGTCATGTCTTACCCTGCCCAACATCTCCCTTCACCCACTTTTCTGTTGTCCATCCCCAAGGGAGGGGGTTATATGTAGATCCTTGTGATCAGTTCCCCCTTTCTACCCCACCTTTCCTCCACCCTCCCAGTATCACTACTCTCACCACTGGTCCAGAGGGGTTCATCTGTCCTGGATTCCCTGTGTTTCCAGTTCCTATCTGTATCAGTGTACATCCTCTGGTCTAGCCAGATTTGTAAGGTAGAATTGGGATCATGATAGTGGGGGTTGGGTTGGGGGTGGGGGTAGCATTTAAGGACTAGAGGAAAGTTGTATGTTTCATCGGTACTAGTTTCATCGGTGCTACACTGCACCTTGACTGGCTCCTCTCCTCCCCTCGACCCTTCCGTAAGGGGATGTCCAGTTGTCTACAGATGGGCTTTGGGCCCCCACTCTGCACTCCCCCTCATTCACAATGGTATGATTTTTTTGTTCTTTGATGCCTGATACTTGGTCCCATCGACACCTCATGATCACACAGGCTGGTGTGCTTCTTCCATGTGGGCTTTGTTGTAAAGCAGCTTTTGTTTGATGAACTGGTTTGATGAACAGATTAGACTAATACCTTTTTTAAAGGTAGATAGTCTTTAAGGTCTTAAAACAATTTAATCTTTTAATTAGATAAAGCATTCTCTTAGAACCTATGTTCCCAAACTTGGCAGCTCTTTGGAATCATGGGAGTGGGGGAGGAGAGTAGAGACAGGGATCTGGTGCAAATACTTACAAATCCTGGGCTCCACTTGCAACTTAATGAGTCATAATCCCTAGGGAGCAGAGCCTGTGTTTACACCAGATTTCTGGGTGATTCCAGTGATCAGCCAAGTTTAGGAAACTAGGCCTTAGAGAAGCAGTCGCTTTCTGCTCAGCCTTCCTCATTGACATGAAGATACATTTCAGTCCACATTTTTATTTAGGCGCACATTTTATTTATTTATATAAAGTTTTTAAAAATCATTTTCTGTGCTCAGGAAAGAGGTTAATCTGGTTTTTGTCCAGTGATTATTTCTGTTCTTGCCCTAGGCCACTCTCTTCTCTTGCCTGGTCTAAGTAAGAAAAATAATAATTAATAATAATAATAATGCATCACCCTCTTCCATTTGTTAGAAAACCCCCCCAAAAATCTTAAGGAAAATACTTTCTTACCTTATAAAATCCAGTTTTCCTACCTTTGGCCTAATTGCACCCTTTTAAGCTCTTGACATGGATCAGTGGAGGCTTATTTCTCTGTTCTTCTAAATGAGAAAACAAAACAAAACATAAAAACCAGTTCCTCCATTAAGCTCAAGAGAAAGTTCCTTGTTCTCCAAATCCGTGTAGGAGGATAAGCTGTACGAAATCTCCCCCATCACCTGTCAGAAGCGCTTTCCTGACATTACAGAGGTGTGGAGGACATTTTAAGCCCTAAATTGGGCAGACCAAATTGGTCTGGCGACTGCTTAGTCATGATTAATCGCTCTAGAAATGATTCTGGCATGGGCGGGAGAGGGGAAGGGCCTAGACGTGCCTACCGGCCACCCGGGCTCCTGCTCTGGGGAGTGGACTCTGGGGTTTGGAATTCAGGGTGGTCTTCCTGAAAGCATCTGACTGGACTGCTGCCCTCCGGGTCTCCTGTTGCCTTTTCAGTCGTTTGTCAGCAGCTCAGTCCAGGAATCCCTTGGCTGCTGACCAGTGGCCCACAAGAGGTGCGCCTGCCAGCGCCAGCCAGGCCTTGGTGTCCTGACCTAGTTAATCCTCACACCCCAGCAAGCTTTCTCATGCCTCTGTCTTTCCTGCAGAATGCTGTCCTTCCGAGGTGACAAAGATGTCTTCTTTCAAAAACAAAGCCTTTCACTCTTTCCTTCTCTTTCTTTCTTGGAGACATCAATGCTTTGGGGAGAAGGAGTTGGTACCAAATCTAATAGAGTCTGAGCATGAATACATTTCCACTCTTAAAAGGTGTTTTTTTTAAAGTCACAATTATTGAGTTATAATGTGCATATTAGTAAAATTCACTCGTTGGGGTGTACAGTTGCATGAGTTTGGACAGATAATAGAGAGTTGTATAATCAGCACCATAATCTGAATGGAGACCATTTCCAGCGTCTACAAAGTTCTTTGTCTTGTCCTTGTGCTGTAGTTGGTCCCCTCTGCACTCCCACGCTCTGGAAACCTCTGGTTTGTTCTCCTCTCTATAGTTTTCCCTTGTCAGAATGCCATATCAATGGAATCATATCCCAGATAGCCATTAGAGTCTGGCATTTCCCACTCAGCATAATACATTTGTTGAATAAGTACGGCTGAAGAAGAATCAACGCATTTGAAATATGGTGCTGGCGACGAATATTCAAAGTACCCCAGACTGTCAAGCGGATAAACACATTTGTCTTGAAGAAGTAGAGCTGAGTGCTCCTTAGCGCAATGAGAACGAGACCCCGTCTCGAGTACTTTGGACATGTTCTCAGGAGAGACCAGTCACTGGAGAAGCACATCAAGTAGCAGGGCAGCGAAAAAGAGGAAGACCTTTGATTAGATGGGTTGACACGGGGGCTACATCAATGGACTTGAACTTAAAAAAACCCCCGAGGAGGGTGCAGGCCCGGGCAGTGTTTTGGCCATGCGGTTGCTGGGGGTCAAAACCAACTTGACGGCACCGAACAGCAGCGGCAGCAGCCACATAATGCATTGAGAGCTGGTGCTTCTAGAAATAGGGTTTTCCTTTGTCCTGCTACCCAGCATTCCACTGTGTGGCTGTACCAATGTTTGTTTACGCTTTCATCCTTGGAAGGTTGTTTGGGTGGGTCCAGTTGTCAGTTATTATAAACAGAACTCCTGAAAACATTTACACACAGGTTTTGTGTGAGCATAAGTTCACACGACACCAAGGTAAATGTCGAAGAGTGGGATTGTTGGTCAGATGAGAGCAAGTTTATGCTTCCCAAAGGATTATTTCAAAATGTATTTAAATATTTATTATTTACCCTCGAGTTACAAAAATAATGCATATACATTGTAGGAAAAGGTATACAGCAAAATACCAAGAAGGAAAAAAAAATAACCCAATCTCATCTATCTTTGATTGCATCTGGGTATATGCTTATTTGAATGTTGTTTTGTAACCTATGGTCTGCTTCATAAAGATTTTCTGTGTCACTGAATATGAGAGGCTTCAAAATGGAATTCAGTTGGTGGAATTGGTGGAAAATGGAATTGAAATGGTGCACTTGACAATTTTCCCTTGAGTAAAATCAGTAGTTCTTAGCAATTTTTAAAGTGCTAACTGTAGACTATTATAGCTGTTCACTCTTAGGAAAGAATTTACATTATTTTTCCCTGATATAAAAATAAGGTTAAAAATTATCGATCATATATTAAATAATCAGCTAATCACTAGAGATCTTTTTGTTCTTCTATGATAGGCTTCAAAAAGTTTGTGGAAAATGGAATAAAAAGATGCTGGCATTTTCCTAGGGACTTTTTGAAGCCCCCCAGTATGCTAGCTGCATTACCAATTCACTTGAGGTCTCTGTACTGGGAGAGTCAGCCCTCAGCTGTCTTTGTTGATCAGAGAACAGCTAGGACTGTTCTTGGGACCGATCATTCATCCACCTGTCTGGTTTAGAGAGTTCTAGGTATGTGTGCCAACTATGTTTCCTGGGCTCTCTGAAGAATAGGCTAACAACAATGCCTGGGCAAAGGAAACTCCCCCAAACCAACCCACTGCCATTGGGTTGATTCTAATTCATAGTGACCTATAGGACAGAGTAGAGCTGCTCCCTAGGGTTGCTGACTGTAAATTTACAGTCGATAAATTCACTGCCATCGAGTCCGTTTAGACCCCTAGCCTCATCTTTCTCCTTCGGATCAGCTGGTGGGTTTGAAGGAGGCCTGATGACATAGTGGGTTATGCAATGGGCTGCTGACAGCCAGCAGGGTTCTTCTGGGCAGAGAAGGAGTGGGTAGCAAAAGGACCCAAGGAGCATTCGGAATGCCCTAGAATCCTTCCGTTCCTGAAGCACCCATCCCCTTTCTATTTAAGCTTCAACGTCAAGATCCCTACTCTCAATAAGGGAAAAAATAACAGTAACTTCTCACAAGCAATTGTCCATCAAATAAACAACCTGAAGTCGGCTTCAGGAGCTGTTTCTCCCAGCTTGGTCCAACTACTTGGTCCGGCTTGGTTCCCAAAGAGAAAATCCCTCCAAGTTTAAGCCAGGGGTGGGCATGGTGGAGAGAGAGAGAGAGAGAGAGAGAGAGAGAGAGAGAGAGAGAGAGAGAGAGAGAGAGAGAGAGAGAGAGAGAGAGAGAGAGAGAGAGAGAATACTCGCTAGAGTGCAGGATTTACTGCTAGCCCAGCAGCAGAATAGTTCACGGTACAGTCTTGAGAATGAAAGAGAAGCCTTTTGGAGTCTCTTGATTGAGTTTCCTGCCTGCCAGGTATGGGTTGCCAACGTTAAAAAAATAATAATTGAGGTTATATAGATGAATTTGCTATCGAGTTTGCAAATATGGGTGATCCACTGCATGTAACTGCTACCAGCTTGCAGCAGCAACAAAATAGTCATTTCTTTGGAAGGAGTTTGGTTTGGGTTTACTTTTTGCTGGGAAACCGTTTGGATGGGAATTTAGAAAATCTTCTTACAGTTAATTGGGAAATTGGAAGTCTAATGGCAGATCGTTGGTTCACTACTAGGTTTATTAGTTTGATGCCGGAGTGTTGCAACAGTTTGTGACCAATGTACTAAGTATGAGGCTGCCTGGTGGTGTGGCCATCACACCTTGGGCTGCAAACTCCAAAGTCAGCAGTTCGAAACCCCCAGCTGCTCCATGGAAGAAAAAGGAAGCTTTCTACTCCCCTCAAGAGTTACAGTCTCAGTAACCCACAGGGGCAGTTCTTCCCTGCCCTCCAGGCCACGATGAGTCAGCACTGAATGCTCATGAGTGACTAAGCACAGTGCATGCGGCCAGGAGGAAGGCCAGCCAGGTTTCTGTAGTAAGCAATGTCTCCGGGCAGCTTTGTACTTGAGCAATTTATCCACAGCCTAAAGGAACGAGAGACAGGCATGTTTGGCTTAATCTGTATCTTGGTACCTTTTAGCAAACTAGGCATCTTTCAATCCTGAATGTCTCCAACTGTTTAAGACTGCCTTGTATCCCTACTGCCCAATGGTAGTTTTTCCTGTTTTAAGTGGTTCTAATCCAAGCACAGTACGTTCCAGCCTGGCCTTTTCTGCAGACAGTAGAAGGCTGGTTTTGCTAAGACAAGCAGAGTTCTTACATGAGGAGTTCATGTTTGGGTACCAAAGTAGAGCATGCAGACTAATCTCTTTATGGTTTTTATGATATTTGCCATTTAGAGATTAGAAGCACTTGGAAATATATTTCTCTATATAAAGCAAAAAGAAAACAGGTATAGATATATAATATATATACCATATATATAAATAAAAAAGAAACACAGGCCATATTTACAAAGAAAAAAGTAACACAGTATATACATATACTAGTTTTCTATATAATATGTATACATTATATGCATAATACATGTATATATTTTTATGTGAGATATATGTATATATACATATATGTAATGTAGAAGCTTATTTTCTTTCTTTTTTATATATGGCATATATTGCATATATGTATATTATTTTCTTTATTTTTTCTCTTTATACACATATACATACACACATACACACACACACACATATATAGCAATGCATTTACAAATATTTCTAATCTCTGACTGTTAAATATCATTCAGGCAAGTATATGTATTCAGACAGGAAAATGAGTACATAACTGTATGTAATATATATACATATGCATATATATATATATGTGCCTGTTTTCTTTTTAAAGAGGACATTTCCTAAGTCATGAGCAGGGTAAGTATAGGACCACTGCACAGACTCATCATCCAGATGAGGGAGACCACCAGCATGGTTCAGAATGGGGTCCAAAGGTTTGCTGTGGTAGAGTGCTTTAACAAGGACATGGGAGGTCAAAGAAAATTGTCATGTAAACATGATTGGCAGGAGGCCAATATAATATAGCTACAGGTTGGATTGTCAGAGCAGGATTGGAGCCCTGATGGAAACATTTGCATAAAGTAAGGAAGTATTACTTATAATACTGGTCCAGGGGCTTCCCTGAGGCAATCAGAGCATGACTGATGACTACGCAGTCCTCAGTATGAAGAGCTCCATCAGGGACACACCCAGGAAAGCTCCTAAGGGAGATTGCCCCTCCCTGGGCTGGTCTAGGTGGCGGAGGTAACTCACTTTCCAGGGCACTCTGTCTGAGGGCAAGGCTATTCATATCTCTGCTCAATGGTCAGAAGGGATTCAACAGAAGCTTAATCCTTGTGGGGATTCTGCAAATGGATTTTGGGTTGTCATGGTCATCCACAGCCTTCTGCAAATTGGGTGCTCAGAATTTTGGCTCTAATGCAATACCCTTTTCTGATCATGAATTTTATATGGACCATTCTTGGATCACACATGCTGGTGTGCTCCTTACATATGGACTTAGCTGGCATAGCTGGCACTTCACTTTGATGGCTGCTTCAAGATAAGCTTTTAAGACCCCAGACACCATCTGATTTCTTTATCACCCTTTGT